CGTTAGCTCCAGGAACCCTTCCCCATCCTTTTACTATACACAGTTGAAAGATGAATAAAAGTTACAAGAAATCGACGGTAACATTTGAAACTGAAAATTTCGCTCCCGAGTTTTAGAAAACTCATTTGCGACAGTAAACGAAAAAAGATTTGATTTTATAGTATTGCTTACAAAATAGCAACTCACACCTCAAGCGCTGCACTCACCACAACTAGCAAAAGGAGAGATAAACAAAACGTGCGCGCAGCTACATATCCATAAACAAAACAAGGGGACATCTTAGCATTTACTCAATGGATCAGGCAAACTGGGCGAAAAACCTAATCGAGATTAAGGTCATTGACTCAAAAGCTGAAGTACATTACAGTTACATGTAGTCTTAAAATTCTAAAATTAGTTGCTCCGGCCGGAAGTAGTATAACGAAGAAGTAGACGTATTTATCCGAACGTTATACACAAAGTAGCTTCCAAAACTGCAAGCGGGTCATGCTCCCCGGTGTATACTGGCAGTAATTTACAAAAATGCGCTCTTACTCGCTGCCCATTTGCTGATACTCTCAAAAGATCTCCTGAGAATTACTCTGACGTTTTCAATTCACTCATTAATTGCTATTGATAAGTTCCATTGGTATATTTTAATTAAAATTTATTTGTGTTTTAACATGGAGTGAAAGTGTTTTGTTTCAATTAAAACTGAAAGTTTCATGGATGTTTTGAGAACTAATTTTGTAAAATTTAAACTGTTTCAGCAGAATAGCAACGCAACCTTGTTACAGTGACCGCGATTTCTAGATAAATGCCCTTTCGAACAGCTACAGGTCTCCACGTTGGAGTGCGTGAGTGAACACAGCTGTTTGAAGGCTTTTGTAAACCCGGTAGATCGCGTTTTGTAGACGGCGGCTCGTTAAATCCGTCTTCGCAAATTGCTCCCGTGTGTCTTTGTTTCTTTCTTCTCGTGCGTCGTCCCGGAGACGAATTAAGCAAATGCCACCAACTACTACGTGCCTTTCACTTCGCCACTTCTTGTTGGCCTTGTATATTGTCGCTGTCAGTGATGCAACGCTTGGTAGCGTCCTCAGTGACCCTTGGTAATTTAGCAGGAACTTGAGATTCGTCTTTTATTTCTAGAGGCGCCCCGAGAAACAAGAGGCCTGGAGCAGTAGATCCACGGGAGCTTCTTATTTTAAAATAATTTCATCCCGCCCCAATACATAAACAGATTATTTTCTTCGTGCCCCAGAAATAACTTAGGTGATTTTGAATTAAAAGTAAATACATTTTTATTTTGAATTAAAAATAATACATGGGACCGCAATTAACTCATGGTCTGGGGCAAGTTTTGCCAGCTGCCGCTCCCTTCTGGGTTCATTTTTACCTCTGCCTTCATTTGTGAATGCCATTAAGGCCAAGTGATTTCTAAGGTGTAAAATGTTTTCACTTGGCTCATAGAAATGACATGCAAAACCAAAGTCGAATTGATATTTTAAGGGCCATGACCACCTTGTGGTGCATTCTAATAATATTGAAATTCAATGTGAATGAAAATTAACTATATTCTTAATGTTTTAAAAACTTAATTTTAAAACATTGTCATAATTTATAAACTAATATAAAGTTCAGTTTATTGTAGTTAAATTTAATCTATATTGATTGTCTGTTCAATTTGTATTATTGTCAAAGTAACCTTTGTTCTATACACAATCGAACCTATTTGCAAGACAGCAATGTTTTGCAACTATTTATTTATTCTTTAAAAGAATTGTAGAACAACTTTTGTGGGTTGTTATGAATGCTTCATCAGGTATAACATAAAAATGACTATCTAAAATGACTCATTGGAAAATAGTGCATTGTGTAGACCAATTCAAAGTAGATCAACTGTCCCAGGTCTGTTTGTGTCAAAGACCAACTTCACAAATTGTGTATTGTGTTTTTTTGGGATACAAAAGGACCCACTTCACTCAGAATTGTTCCCAAGGACAGTGGTAGGTACCATGGTAGGTCTCTGGCAGGTCACATAGGTGCCAATAGATGTCGGCTAGGATGTGGGTCACGCAAAACCAAAAAGCTAACACTGACTCAAGATTAACTTATTCAAGAAAGTATATGCCATTTTGTAGCACTACTAGAATTATGTGAAGGGAATGACACCATCAATATATCCCAGGTTGACTCCAAATCTAGTTGTGCTGTAGACAAGGTGAATCCTGAAAATAATTTGGAGGCAACATGTCATCACTTTTGAAACAATTACTTTTTAATATTTTTAGTTTGAAATGATAAAATGTACATTCATAATGGTAATACCCAATTGAATGAAATTGCAAAAAATGTTGGGAGAGGATGTATGACTCCATGGTTCATTCCCTTGGATCTGCCGTTGTGTTCAATCATGAAATTAATAACATTCACAGATTTTGTGCTGTTTTGCCTTCCATGACAAATAATAAATAATAATATATTTGTCACATAAATACAGCAATATTTATATATAACCAAACCCACGTGCGTGCTCGCACA